TCTCATAGGCGGAATCATTTATGAAACACGCAGGGGAAAAATAAAAAATTGGTCCCACAAGTTGAGGGGGGTGCCACTTTTGGTTCTGTAAGATCGTTAAAGTCGCCAATAGTCCTACAACTTTCAAAAAGTAATCAAAAGGCGGACTTTTGATGCGATTTGGAGTCCGAAAGGCCTGATAAGCCATGTGGCGCAGAATAACAACAACAACAACAATGATAATAATAATAATAATGATAATAATAATGATAATAATAATAATGCCAATAACAATAATGTGATGGCTTTAATGGAGAAATAATCATAAATAGCCCAAAATAAATCACTACCATGAAGTTTCATAAAATCTAAATATCACATATATTCTATTATTTGAACGGGGCGTTGCATGTTATCCTCCAATCAGACTTCAACTGTGTAGCTGAATTTATTCGGTTAGTTTCAGGGGCGGATCTAGCAAATATATTGAGAAGGGGCCTAATTATTTAACATACCTTCATAGCCGTTCTTTACGAGTTTCATGACCTGATATCTCTCGATAATAACATCATTATTAATTTTCAAGAAGATTTTTTTTTTCTACATAAAGAAACATGGTCTCTAATCTTTGGACGATACATTGAGATTGAAATTCTCAATCCGAGATCAGAGAGAAGTTGAGAAGAATCGAACTCCTCAATCACCGTTAAACTTTCATTCTCATTTTCTTTCTGCCTAGTGAAATCAGAATTTCTCTCAAATATATTTGGGTTCAAAGTATTTCATTTTGAGACATTTTCACAAGTACTTTGTTGATGGAGCATTTTTTAAAAATATCTCTCCATATCTGATATACAAAAAAAATATTATAAATATATAATGAAATTCTCTCTATTTGGATATATCATGCTTTAAAGAGCTATAAGCACCTTAGAGATTGAATTTGCAATTCTACATAAAAAAAAAAATATATTTACCATTACCTAAAAAATAAATAAGAATAAATTTTATTTCCACTCACATAAGCATAACGGTATTTCATTACCTCGCAAGTCGTCTTCTCAAATAATTGGAACAAGAATCGATAAGCTTTGTGACTCTTTTTTCTCTTATATCTCTCCTCTTTCCCCACTTTTGTCTTTTTTTCTTTACCTCTGTAACTTTATTCTTGCATGACGTTCTTGCGTGAAGTTAAA